ACACACACACACACACATACATACACACACGCACACACATACACACACACACATAAACACACACACAAGCACGCACACGCGCGCACATACATACACAAGTTATTCAATAGGGACTCTCCACAAATCCTTAGACACAGATACACGCACACACACACACACACTCACACGCACACACACACACACACACACAGAAACACGTGGATTTCCTCCAACTACTGTTGAACGCTCACAAAGATACCGGTGATGATGCGGACGATGATGAAGAGGATGGTGATAAAATCAAATGGAATGATAAGGAAGGAAGTGGTGGTAGTAGTAGTAACCAAAAATCAGCATACACCAAAAGAGGTCACATTACTATCATCATCATCATGGTATCATTATCATCATCGTCATCATCACATTACTATCATCATCATCATCATCATCATGGTATCATTATCATCATCGCCCTCATCATCATATCATTATCATCATCGTCAACATCTCTGTATTATCATCATCATCGTCGTATAATTATCATCATCGTCATCATCATCATAATATCATTATCATCATCGTCATCATCATAATATCATTATCATCATCGTCATTATCATTTCATCGTATCATTATCATCCTCGCCATCATCATCGTATCATTATCATCATTCCATCATCATCATCGTCGTCGTCATCATCATCATGTCTGACACCAACTCTACATTTCAACATCAGTATCTCTTAATCTTATTGCTGCTTCAGAATAGTACATTCGTTAATTTAAATCTGCATTATTTTATATCAATTTGCATACACCAACGTGAATCTGAATCTGAAATAACATAAATTATGATAATTTGGAGTTATATGGATATAATTAACATAAATTATGATAGTTGGGGTTGTACGGATATAATTAACATAAATTATGATATTTGGAGTTATACGGATATAATTAACATTAATTATGATATTTGGAGTTATACGGATATAATTAACATAAATTATGATAATTGTTTAGCCCTGTCGGATGAAGACTTACTGGCCCAGAGTCTGTTGTTTTTCTTGGTCGGATTTGAGACGACTTCTACGACTTTGACATTTTTCGCGTACAACATGGCGTGCTATCCAGAAGAGCAGGAGAAGCTGTACAAGGAGATTGTTGAGAAGATTGGTGATGAGGTTGGTTGGCTGGTTGGATGGATGGTTGGATGGTTGGTTTGATACGTTGGTTAATTAATAATCAATCAGTCAATCAATCAATCAATCTATCTATCTATCTATCAAGGACCCTTCGTACGATTCAATCAAGCCGCTGACCTACCTAAACATGTGTCTCAATGAAACTTTGAGGATGTTTCCTTTTGGTTTGAGGTATGAACGAATGAACAAATGAACGAACGAACAAACAAATGAATGAATGAATGAACGAACGAACGAATGATGAACGAACAAATAAAACCGACCAATCACAGAACGGATAGAGTAGCGGCCCAAGATGTCACCATCAATGGATTGTTCATTCCTAAAGGTCATCATCATCACCATCATCATCATCACCATCATCAACATTTATCCCATTATTTTCACCATTATCATCACCAACATTTACATCATTATCAGCACCAACATTTACACCATTATCAGCACCAACATTATTGATTGCATCATCATCATCCTCATCATCACCATCATCATCATCACAATCACCATCATCATCATTTACCCCATTATCCTCACCATTATCATCACCAACATTTACATCATTATCAGCACCAACATTATTATTTGCATCATCATCATCATCGTCGTCGTCATCTTCGTCATGTCAGGAATGTTGGTCGGCATTCCTATTTACGTGCTGCACAATGATCCGGAATTTTGGCCTGAACCTCACGTCTTCAATCCGGAGAGGTGACGTCATATTCATAATTATCACCACCACCATTAACACCATCATCGCTCCATCACCCCCACCACAATTATCATCATCAAAATCATCCTCCTCTTTCACATCATCATCATCCTAATCATCATCTTCTTCCTCGTCATCATCATCCTAATCATCCTCCTCTCCCTCATCATCATCAGGTTCTCTCCGAAAAATTGGAATCCAAATACCAGTGACCCCATGCGTTTCATGCCCTTTGGGGCCGGCCCAAGAAACTGCGTGGGCATGAGGCTGGCCAAGATGGAGGTCAAGTTGGCTGTCGTCCACATGATCCGTAGTTTCAAATTTTCCGCCACTGAGGAAACGGAAGTTAGTCCCGATGTTCTGGTGACGTCACTGCAATGGTTGTGACGAGTAAATATTATTATTATTATTATTATTATTATTAAATGCATTTGTATAGCGCTTATTAAATGAAATTCGGGGTGATGTGATTACGATCTAACTATTTCACTCCTAGAAACGTTACGGTGAAGTGTAAATGGTGATGGCGGTGATTATGACGTCATTATGACGTCATTATTACGTAACTTTTACGTAGTAATTTATTATTTCGTTAATTAACTTCCAGCGACCGCCAGTTTTTGAAAGGTTCGCGCTGAAAACTGTAAACCCCTTAAAGATCCGAGTGGTAAAGAGATGAGAGGCTATAGTTATTATTTCTCCATCACCGTCGTCATCATGAGGTCATCTTGACGTCATCATCATCGTCGTCATGACGTCATCATCTTCATCATTTTCCTCATTATCATCGCTACATATGACATACTTTGATTGTTTAACATGATTATATGGCAACAATATTAACCGAGACATCATACTAGCTCGTAAAAGGTGTCTGTACAATCATTTTTATAGCTTAATACGCACACACACACAAACACACACATACATACAAACACACACACACACAGTTATTTATACATACATACGTGTTTTCACAACTATCGATTCGTTTTGATTCTGCCATAAATCAAAAATTTTCTACCCTTTATACCATTCTTCCCTTACCAAAAATCACTTCAAAATTTGTATTTTTAAATAAAATTCATTTTAATAAGAAAATCTTTTCAAATTTTTTTTAGTTTAATAATGAAAATAATGCTGGTATTGTGGTTTGTTGGTGTCTGTCGGTATGCGGTGGTGATGTATGTTTTAATTAATTTTATTTATTAACTTGGTCGCTGAGTTTTTTGGCCTCAAAGATCTGAAGACATTTTTTTGGTCGGTTTTAACATCGGGTCAAAAGTTAAAATTTTTATGGCCAACCTCACGTGCGTGTGCGTGTGTGTGTGCGTGTGTTTGTGATGGGTGCTCGCTCAATTCTTTCTAATAATATAGAAAAACTTTAAATGCGAGCTTTAAATATTTTATTATTTTTATTTAAAACAAGTTAATTTTAATAATAACAAGTATTATTATTATTATTATTAATTATTATTATTATTAATCAATAATTAATTTTATTATTATTAAACTTAAATACATAGTAACACAGCCGTAAATTCGGAAAAAATTGAGCAGCGTTCGAGTTAGGCTCGTAAACTAATCACATACAAAAGTCCGTCGTTATGGGCATTAACCTTTTGAACTTTAACCTTTCTATGGCATTGTTGACGTCACTGTATTGTATTGTATTCAGTTCGGTTATAACGTATTGTCCGGTATAATGAAATGAAAATATCGTATCGTATTGTTCGTTATAAAAGAGTAGTTTGATATAAAGAGGTCCTCTATCCTATCCAACAGGTTTTATACATTCATTCATACTTGCTAGCACACGCACGCACACGCACCTACACACATACATAAGCACGAACACACACATATAAACACATACAAACACACACACATAAAAACACATACAAACACACATACATACACACACACACATACGTCTTATTAAGTATGACATCACTTCATCATTATGTAAAAAAAAATCCGGCGCACGGCCGCAGACCACCCGCGCTCCTGTAGCCAATTCATCAAATAATAATAATTATTATAATTATTATTATAATTAAAATAATTATAATAATAATAATTTGTTTTTTTCTTATAAATTTATAAACGCTTTCTTATTCAATTCATTTTTTTACCTCGGTTAACTAATTACTGAGTAACATGAAATAACTTGAGAAATGCGAATGTGTACACATATATATACACACATACATACATTTAGACAAACACACACACACACACACACACATACATACACACACTGACAATGCAAATACACATCACACACACACACGCACGCACGCACACATACACATTCAATGAAAATTATGCTAAGAATCCCATGCCAGAAACCGCTATGTTAAATATACATGCTCATTCATATGTTGACACACATACACACACACACACATAAACACAAACACACAAACATACACACACACACATACACACACATATACACACACACACATGCACATTGTATGAAATGAAACTCCACATAATAAAATTAGCAAGTACGTAAGAATGATAATCAACAAGATAGACATTGATAAATAAACAAAGATAAGAAATACAAAGAATAGAAAAACAACATAGATATGAACAAACAATTATCGAGTCACTTGTTCCCCATAGATATGAGAATCTTAATTGCGGTTGTCAAGACGATTTGATGTCGCTGCAAACCTACCGCTACGATTTCTTTGGTAAACTGATCCTATTTGGAATCTTTGGTCACGGTTAACGATGATGATAATGATCATTGTAATAATAATAATAGTAATAATGCTTATTATTACTACTACTATTACTATTAATAATAATAATAACAAAAATGTAACATGTAATTCAGACGGAGTTCGCCAGCTGACTGTTTAACTGTTTAGCCATAGTTCAAACAATTTATGCCAATTCTCTTGCTACTGGTGTCGTTGTTGTTGTTGTGGTTGTTGTTGTGGTTGTTGTTGTTGTCGTTGTTGTGCAGTTGTTGCTTTTGTTGTTGTTGTTGTTGCCTTTGTTGTTGTTGTTGTTGTTATTGTTTTTGTTGTGTTGCTGTTGTGTTGTTGTTGCTTTTGTTGTTGCTGTTGTTGTTGTCGTCGTTGCTGTGAGAACATTTAACGTCACGAGTTATTGAAACCACCAGCGAGCAAGCAAACAAACAAACGAACGAACGAATCACCATTCGTCGCATGTAACGGATATATAACAATAATAATAACAATAATAATATAAATAATAATAATAATAATAACACAATAATAATAATAATAATAATTTGTCATTGGTCATAACTTTAGTGTCAAGTTTTGTGTTAATTATCACTTTCTCACGCTTTGATTTTTTGGCGGATGTTTGTTTGTGTGTGTGTGTGTGTGAATGTGTGTGTATGTGTGTGAATGAATGTGTGTGTGTGAATGTGTGTATGAATGAATGTATGCGTCGTGGTATGTGTGTGAAAATACGTAAGTGTATATGTATGTGAATATGTAGGTGTCCTATGTTCATCATATGTTTAATTAGTTAACTAATTAATTAAGTGACCAAATGAGCGAATGACCGAGTTTATAAGTAAACGAATGAATGAATGAATGAATGAATGAACGAACGAACGAATGAATGAATGAATGAATGAATGAATGAATGAATGAATGAAAGAACGAATGAACGAATGAATGAAAAAATGAATGAATGATTCAGTAAGTGAGGTATAGCGAGGAGGCGAATGATGTTGTTGACCTTATAATTGGGTCAGTGTGGCCTAATTACAGGCCAACCCTATTCCAAATCACGATTCATCTTTTTATTTATGGCTTGGGGCCATGGCGAACAAATAAGATTGTGGCTTGTTGTGGCTGGTTGTGGCTGGTTGCTGTGACAGCTGCTACAGTTGCTGCAGTTACTGTTGATGCTGATGTTTTTGATTCTGATAATTATATTGTTGTCTTGCTGTTGTTGTTGCTTTTGTTGATGATAAGAATGACGTAAAATAATTTTCAAACATTTTTATCAATCATCATCATCATCATCATCAGCAACAACATCGTCATCATCATCATCAACAACATCATCATCATCACCACCGACGTAACTCAAGCACGTGACTAATAATGTAGATGAGTTGGACCAATTAAAGCATGGCCGATACGCAGTATTGGTCACTATATGTTTGTTTGTATGTATGTTTGTATGTATGCATGTTTGTATGTATGCTTGTATGTATGTATGTATTTTTGTATGTATGTTTTATGTATGTTTGTATGTATGTATGTATGCGTGCATACGTTTATATGTATTTTTTTCACAAGCATATATTATAAGTACACAATTTATAATGATACTTTTACCAACTGCCTCGACTTCTTCTTCATCATCGTCATCATCATCATCATTAATCATCATCATCTTCGTTGTCGTCATCATCATCATCATCGTTGTTTATATTGACATGGTTGGATAATGGATTGAAGTTTTTATTGATTTATATTTTGTTCTTTCTTCTTCATAGTCTGTAGAGAGATTTAACAATCATCATCATCATCGTCGTCATCATCATCATCATCGTCATCATCATCTTCTTTATCGTCATCATTATCATCTTCATCGTCATCATCATCGTCATCATCATCATCTTCTTCTTCATCATCTTCATCGTCATCATCATCATCTTCTTCTTCATCATCTTCATCGTCATCTTCATCGTCATCATCATCGTCATCATCATCTTCTTTATCATCATCATCATCATTATCATCTTCATCGTCATCATCATCGTCATCATCATCATCTTCTTCTTCATCATCTTCATCGTCATCTTCATCATCTTCATCGTCATCTTCATCGTTGTCATCGTCATCATCTTGATAATTATCAATATAGTATTACTGTCAGATACTTCATACACACGCACGCACGCACTCACAAACACACACACACACAAACACACACACATATATACGTATCTATACATATACATTCACACACATGTATATATATATATATATATATATATATAATCAATATATAGCTGATTGATATGCGCATACAATTTGCATACTAATGAGGCAATTCTTTACCATTAGCTAGTTGGCGTTGTTTTGTTTGAATATATGAGATCCAGAGGGCTCTGACGAAATCCTTATTATTTATTTTAAACTTTTATGAATTAACTTGATTGGGATCGTTTCGAGATTATAAAATGATATTTTTTCGTCTGTTTTTTTTTTTTTTATTTTTTTTATTGACAAACATTTTATTAACGTTTCTATGTGGGTTATTGTTAATCTCATTCGTAATTTAGTTTAACAACACTTACTTTTGTACATATAACTTCGATGGTGATAACTATGATGATGATGATTATTATTGTTGTTGTTGTTGTCGTTGTTGTTGATGCGGTGTTTTTGTTGTTGTTGTTGTTGTTGTTGTTGTTGTTACCTTTAATAACGGTTAAAATGTCGGCACTACCTTTATGAACAAACTCAGCAACCAATAGAAAGCTAGCATTCCAAATTTGTCCTGACCAATAAGAGAGGAGAGAGAGAAAGAAAGAGAAAGAAAGAGAGAGAGAGAAAGAAAGAAAGTGAGAGAGAAAGTCTATATATTGTTATCATTTTTTGAGTTAGTACAATTCATTTCATTCGTCCTAGAATTATAAAAAAATTATCTTCAATTATCACCATTATCATGATCATCGCCATCATCATCATCATCATCATCATCAAGAAGACCACAATCATCATCATCGTCGTCAAGACCGCAATCATCATGATCATCATGATCATCATCATGATCATGATGATCATCATCATGATCATCATCATGATCATCATGATCATCATGATCATCATCATGATCATCATCATCATCATCATCATCATCATCATCATCATCATCATCATCATCATCATATTTGTCCACGTGTTCAAATCAAAGAAACTTTGATTGGCTGGTTGGTTGGCTGGTTGGTTTGGTTGGCTGACTGGCTTAAATTTCAAAAGATTGAATCGGCCATACATTAAATTAAGTCATTTGAAGATTTACAAAGAGGGATTTTCACGCTGAAATAATAATTGTACAATTTATATCATTACTCTAAATAATAATAATATTTGCGATAACTATAAATAACCACAATTATCAAATTGCTGT